CTTAAGTGGTATAAGTGAGGAACGGCCAATGGCGGCCTATTAAAATGACTAATGTCTACCAATTAACCGTGATTACTACCGTTAACCGTTAACCGTCAACCGTTAACCGTTTACCGTAATTACTTACCATTTTCCTTTCTACTTGATTACCTGGTTCTTGATTACTTGATTACCGTAAATTACATGTTCACATGAAATTATCAAATATTGCTTACGTGTTTATGTGTTAATTGTTGCTAGTAATTGCTCATATGAAATTGTCCACCATTTTAAGGCGAGTGTGTACTTTATCTCACTCGACCTACCAAAAGAATAAATGTTTACCGTTCGCCAAGTTATTTGATTATTTGTGCATGTTGTAAGCTCTAAACTGAACTTGGGCCCTGCCCTTGGTTACTGACTTACTCGAGTCAGGACTGGACTCGGTCGGGTAGGTTGGAACTCTGGACCACCGTTTCGGTATACTCAAGTATTACTACTGGAGGGATAAGGCGATGGCCAGACAGTATCGTGGGGATCGGAAGTTATAAGGTCCAGTTGACCGAAATAATTCCAATGGAACACCGTATCCTTCAATGTGTGTTTATTTTACATAATGATAATCGTTTCATGCAAATGTGCTATACCTGTGATATGCTCAAATTACTCGTAGAATGATAATTGTCTCATGTTCATATGTCAACGTGCAACCCTGAACCATACATGCGGTATGCTCAATTACTTGATTTATTAAAACTGCTAGAGTGTCTTGGAACCTCACTGGGCTGTGTAACTCATCCCATGTTTTTGTTTTCTTTAACAGGGTTCGAAACCAAGAGTGCTCGTGAATAGTACTAGATAGCTTTCTTTTGAAAATTTAAAGTTGTATTACAGCATATGGCTGTAGTAAATATTCATTTGGGTTGTATTAAGCTTGAGAGCTGATTAATTGTAAGTGTGAGATATTTTGGAGTACTTTACTTATGTATTGAAGTTATTTGAAGTATTCCGAACTTTTGAATTTGTGGATTATAGTGAGTCCTGACGAGAGTTGGGCAGCCGTCCCGCGGATACCCTTTGGTTCGCCTTAGGGAGAAGTGGGGGCGTCACAAGACTAATATGAGATAAGTATGGTAAAAGGATATTAATTACACAAGAAATGTTCACAAAATGGGTGAAGTCATCTACTTGACTATTACCATTACTTGGATAGTTATAATGCATTGCTAGATACCAATCTTGAACTATAAGATTAAGCTTATCGATGTTATGTGCTTAACTTCTCTTGTTTTTAGTTATTTAGAATTATTACTTATACTTATTGGCAACGTGTATGAGAACTTAATAGGTTACACGTATTAATAATTTCTTTAGCCAGATTAAAAGAAATTCAAATGAGGATTTGAACGATAAGTTTTTATAACTCATAGTTTAATTTGTAAGATAAATTAAATTTGAGGGACTTATGGTGTAAATGAATTTAAGTCTTCCAAATATATGAGTTGTATTAGAATAAAGATAAGTTGAAACCAAATGGAAACTAGCTTCTCGTTTCCACAAGTATTCAAATAACCTATTTGTCTAAAAATACTCTCATGGATCAAGCTAACAAGACCGATGAACAGAAATCAAGTTGTGTAAAATTTTGTGAAAATCTGATGAGAGAAATACTAAGGAAAAGTGGTTGGTTCCTGAAAGAAATCAACGAATTCTCTCACTTCACCTTTGGCCGATTTTAGGGTTAATAAACCCTAAGTGTTTCTTCATCTTCTTCAAGAACAAGTTGAGTGCTTAGGCCTTGATAGTAGATAGTACTTTTCTAATTTAAACAATTTCCACCTAAAAGGATTCTAGCTAAAGATTTTGTGTGGATCACCAATAGAGGCTAAACGTTTGGACAACTTAAGGTAGATTCCTAGGACTTCACACACATTCTTGGATTAGCGTTCAAGGAGATTTACTATAGTCATGGAAGTAAATTTCCTAAGCTAATTCTTCCTTATATAGAATTAATCAAAGTACGAGCTGTTAAGAAACCAAAAACTTAAATTGCCTATTATTCATACTCGTATGATTCCTTACAATTAATATGTTTAACAAGACCCAAATATAAGAGGTCGCCATTGGGTCAACCTTTTAACAACACAAATATAAGTTGATAAGATTGGATCAACCTGGAGGTTGACAAGCCAACCCGTATATTTAATTACTAAACGATCATGATTTTTGTTTGTTTTTCATCTTTATTTTGGTAGTAAGTTCTCTCTCTCTCTCTTTTTTTTTATCAAATTGAAAGAGAAAGAATGAAGACTTGTAAAGTGAATGGTTGCACAGGCTTGGGTGAAGATTTTATTTAGAAGTTTTGGAAATAATAAGTTTTATGTCTTATTTTGTATGGAAGTATTTGACTTTGTTTTTATTGAAAACTCTAAACCTTGAAGCTTGTGCTACACTTAGAAGACTTTATTGCATATTATGTCTTTAAAAACTATGAATACTCTTAAGTTCCATGTTTTATGTTGTATCGTTATTTCAATATTGAATTTGTATTTGTTGAAAGCCAATATTCAAGTTTTAGACATTATTTTATGGTTTAAAATTTGAAGACTTTATTGTGCATTTTGTGATTGAAAACTATACAACAGCAATAATATATGACTTCCATGGATACATGCACTAAAGTGTGTAACGGGTTCATGTTCCAGCGGTTCTTATGTGTAAAATATTTAATGGATTTAATTGAGTAGGTTGAATTGATCCGTTAATAAGAAGATTATGACATGCAGATTGAGCATTTTTTTTTTAAATGTGAACATGATAACAACATGACAGAACACAACTGGTACAGCCACACCTACTTGGATAATACCAAGCTTTTACCATAAGGGGGGCTGTTTTTTCAGTAGCAAGGTTTCTGATATTCCCCGGCAGACAATGACAATTGGCCTACCTTCTGTTCTGTGTGCGTTGACACATGATCGAAGACACCGCTGAAATTTATAGACCTCTCTAAGGCCTTCCTATCGGCTTTCAAATGCATTATTTCAATGATTGCAACACTGACTTCCATACACAGCTAATGACACGGAAATGAGTGGAACCATGGGTGGATGGAAGTTGAAACATGCTTTTCAATGCCTTATGGGAAAAAAAAAATGAAAAATTCCAATTGCATGACATTGACGTAGTGAATTAATTTGTGTATTATTTCTTGTCTCCTTTTTAATATCTGGAAGCATTCAGATTCCTCCATGCCAGCTCTCTCTTGGTTTCAATTGTATGCGTCCGAGTTCCGAATCACATAAACTCATTTTTCCATATCCTTCTGGGCTGAGATTGGTCTTAGTTGCCGTATAATATTGGACAATCCACCCACTGAGGACGCAAAGAAACTAGACAATATAAAAGTTGGGGATAATTTCACAAACCGCCCCTAAGGGACAATTGCCGGCAGTCCCCTCAAATTTTTGAAATTACACTTAAATCCCCTATTTCACTGTTTAGATCGATAACAATATAGACCCAACTATCTGGATACTTTTTCAATTTCCTGAAATACCCTTTTGGCTACAGTGGCAAGGATGAAACAAATGGTCTACCTCTAAGTCATCATCACCTTAAATAATACTTACCATACATAGCCACCGCAAAATCACCGTCTTACAAACCAGTAGAGCAAATACTACAACTAAATCCCTGAACCCAAGCAATTGCAATTGACTCTACTGCCTGAAATTACCAAAACACAAAAGCTTGCATACAACCTCAATTCTTGCCTAAAATCAATGTTATATTGAGCAATCTCACACCTCAAAGGCGAATCCCAGTGCTGCACTTTCTTTCACAGAATAATCCAACCCACTACCACTAATACAGAGATTAAGAGCAACGCTTCCATGTCTTGAAAATAAAAGACCAAATTCAATATCCATCGATGCCTAGTGTAGGGATCAAATTCCATTTCTGAAGAAAAATGACCACTAGAAATTGCAAACTAAACACAAAAACTTAAAAAACACTACTAATATCCTAGAAATTAATGTACATGAGCGTACCCACATTTAGCAGCTCTTTATCTTCGAGCCATCATTATGATTTTTTATTTATCACTACCATTGTCTGCCTTTCCATCTAGCTTGACAATAAAATCAACTCACAAGTTGCAATTAAATCTGTGAAGATTTAAGGAAAATAGACGAATAAAGAATATGGCCTGATGTATAACGACGAGGAAAAAGAGTTGAGGATTGGGAACAAACACCGGAATAGGGAATTGGTGTGTGCAAACATGATGCTTTTGTTGTTGGCATTCGGTATTATGGGAAGAAGAATAAGAGGAGGGTGAAAGAGAGATGGAAGGGGGCCGTCTATGGTCAAGCCGTTGGTTGATTGAGGAAGACTACAAGATGTGGTGGTAGAGTTTTTTTAAAAAAAAAAAAAATAAATTATGACTAATAAGTAAAGGATATTGTAGTAATTTTACAGCACCAAGGAAGGTCAATGTAATTAAATAAATTTGAGGGGGACTAACTGAAATTATAAGAAAACTTAAGGGAGGTTTCTGAAACTATCCGTAAAAGTTATAACAATGTGCTTTTTTTAATAATAAAAATTTTTTCCCCTCACGTACGTCATGTTAACGTATATATTGTATCATTTATGAAACACATAGAGGTTAGCTGTCATTTTTACAAGTAATTATTTTTTTTATTTCTACGAAGTAAACAATATTTAATAGCAAATTCTTTTTTTTTTTTGGATTTTGAATAGTATATATCCATAAACTTAGAACTTAAATATGTGTTCATCCTAGCCATTGAGAATTCCCCAAATTAATATATAGCTGAACTTGGATGAACTTAATTTTAGTTAAAGAAGATGAAATCAAATTAGAAAGGGGATATCATTGACTTTGCCATTAAATTTCTGTATATTGATTTGTACAACAGAAAGAACAAACCAAAGAAATAATAATAAATTTAGTTTAGAGAAGGGGAAAAAAAAAAAGAAAAGAATTAGTTTCACCGTTGAGTTTTCTTGGTGGAACGGTGAGAATTTTGGAGTAGGAACCTCTTCTTCAAGACCTTCATGAACTCCAGTATACTTGGCTTTTTATTTGGTCTAGACAACTTTAACGGGGGTTGTACGCACCCAAAATTTAACATCTTCATCATAGACATATGCTGATGATCAGAATCGGCCATTGATGATGGTGACGACTTAGAATTCCTTGAAAATTCTTCATTGAAATCCTCCCATAACATGTCCATTTTTTCTTTTTGATCATCCTCATCTTCGTGATCACTGCCAAAATTACCATCTTCATGCCTTCTAGTCTTCATCCCACATTCTATGTGTGAGAAGCTCTTCCTTTGGAAAGCAGATTTGGACTTCTTGTCATTTGATGTACAATAACACAAGAATTTGAAGCCTTCTGCATCGTCTTCTCCCTTTGGGGTCTCATGAGAGGGTGAGACTAGAGAAGTTGTCCGCCATAAGCGTGGCGATTCAATGAATCGTGGCGGTGTATCGGTGGTGGTGGGAAAGCTGAAGTCCTCTTCTGTAGCCATGGCTTAGCCAATTTGATGGTATGTAAATAAGAGGTGGGAAAAAATGGTGGGATGGTTGCTTGTTGGCATGGAAGGTAGAATAATTGGTTGGATAGTTTGTGTTGGAAATTTTAGTTCAACTGCCACAAAGCCTCCACATCTTCACTACACCAGTTTCTTGATTGATTGGGGAATTTTGAATGAATGGGCCCTGCTAATTAAATTTTGCATTTTCAAATTATGTCAGGAAATTCTAAAATTTTTTATTCTCGATATGGTAAAGTGTAATATACAAAATTATACACACAACAGAATTTTAAGTACATGTGTGCTTATGGGTCTCTGAGTAGGTATACAGGCCATGCATTAGTTGGCTTAAAGAATAGATCTCAAACGATTTTAGTTTGGATAAATGGCACTTCAAAGACTTCATGCTTTGTATCGATTTCAAATTTAATTGGAAAAGCTTGTGAAAATACTATATAAAAAAGCATGACGAAATTCTGAAAAGATTTAGTGGAAAGAGGATTTTTACTTGTGTATGAAATGCACATATTTGTCATAATAAGTTTTGTACACAAGCACCAAATCCCCTTTAAAATATAATTCAAAATTCTGCTCCTTTCATTAGTTAATCATGCTTTGGGACACCTATATTGTTAAAGTTATTAAGAAAACCAAATTAGTTCCAAGCTGTCATGCTATTAGGGAAGTTGAATGCAAAATAAACCTTATGGTATCTTCATTGTCATATATTGCTACATCATTTACGTCCTTAATATTGTAATTGATAGCTAATTTGGATTAATTGTAATTTTAGGACGTTATATGTTTAAAGAACAATTGAAGGCACAAACTCAAAATTGCATTACTTTGTGGTCACGTATATCATTATGTGGTGATTCTGTTGGCTGATTGGTTAAGTTTTGGCTAAGGAACTATCAGCACTGGTGACCCTTTCCGATTGAAACCACTTTTTTAATATGAACTTATTTCACAATGAGTGAGGCACATTTTCATTTGTACTTATTTGTATTTATTACCCCTTTGTATTTATTCACTTTTCTATTTAACTAAACTCTTTCAAAAGATAATGACTAGGGCCTAATCTCCCATCCTATTGATGAAATTGGATGAAAAAACATGTATGTATATCTAACTATCTTAATTCCTAATTTTGCGCGGCCCCGTGGGGGGAGGGGGTGGGGTATTCATAATTTTAGGACATGCGTTCGACAAACTTATAGTATTTTTAGGTTTCAATGAATACAAATTGTATTTCATACGTACTTACACTTTAATTAATAGTGTACTATTTGTGAATTAGTGATGTGTGGCTAATTAGACATTGGCACTTGTAAGTTAAAAAAAAAAAAAAAAATCTCATTGTGATGGATAGCATCAGTTGTAATAACTTGTATTTAATACTCAGATTGCACTTCAAGCACTCTCATATTTTCATAATAGTCTAATCCTTGCCGTTAAAATCCAAAAACTATCTTCACCCTTGACCCATCTTTACATATTATAAGGATAAGGATAAAGATATAGGCTATGACGTTTTAGAGTGCTTTTATTACATAGACAGTTGTAGGTTTACAGTTGTAAGGAACATGACATTTACGTAAGTGGCATGTGTCATTATCACATCTGAAGATCCAAATATCTCTAATTTTTGGCATTTTTTCCTTCTCACAATTTCTTAAAAAATCTTTTGTGGCATCTGAAATTGGGAGAAATTGCAAAGCAGCCTCATGGACTTGAAGTTGATGGATGCATGGCAAAATTAAAGTAACTCTGAAGAATATTACATGCAAAATGTAGACGGTGGAGATAGCGAAAGAGTGAGAGGGGCTGGAACTATAAGGACGGGAGCCTAAAATCTTAACGAAACTATTTATTTATTTTATTGATTTTAATGCTTTGTTGTGACAGAACGCATAAACCTCCCATTGAGTTACATGTTCTCCTATTCTCCTCCCAATTAACTACTCTTTTAGTTGGTAATTTAACAATAAAATCATCAAGGTAATTTATTTAAATAGATGGACAAATGGGATCTCATTCTGGGATTGGTAATGTACTAATTACTGTTTTTTTTTTTTTTTACCGGGTGCCAGTTAATTACTTGTTAATGCATCTTATTTTACGAAATTTACTGTATGACTACTTACGCCCACAGTCATTGTCTTTATTACATTCAAAAAATTTTTAATTTAAATTTAATTTTTAAAAAAACTAACACCAAACTCTTCTCTTGACGAGTGCTCATTTAGAGCCTAAAGACAAACTCTTAATTATTAAATCTTCGAGCAAAAGCATTTCCACTTTGACTTCTAGTCTTGACTCTTGAGCCTTGATGTTAGGACAAAAACCGCCAAATGTAGAAAATGACTGTTCCACTGTCATTCCCTTGGTTTTTAGTTGATAATCTTTTTGAGGGGAATTATGTTGCATTTCATTGATTTACTTTTCTTAATATATATACGCATCTTCCTTAACCAAAAAGAAAAGAAAAGAAAAGAAAAGAAAATAGCACATGACAATGCTCCAACACGATAGAAAGAGACAAGTCAAGCCTTGTGTAAATTGACGGATGTCTCGGGAAACGCCGGATTGATCGGGGAATCAGCGGAGCAAAATTCCCAGCTTGATCTATCGTCATTCCTTGTCCAAGTTATAAATTAAATTGACTTTGCACTTAATCACTAATGCAATAAAGTCAAGTCTAGTCTTGGGCCTTGGATGGAACGGATCATGTTCGATGAAGCATAGTTGTTAAGATGCATTGCAGATCAGGATTTTTTGAACAGATTGTCAAGACAGAATTGCAATTTGGGTCCTAAAAATTTGGCAGCGTTTCGAAAATAAGGGAACAATATATTTTTTATCACTAATGTCTGGCCTGTGTCTAGCTTGGTTCTCAATATTTCGATTAAAATAAATGTGATTCATAAAATTTTTTACTTTAAGCAGATTTAGGATGACAAACGAAATATCACAAGAGCTAATGGTCAAAATCAATTGAGAGTCAGTAAAAAGTTTAGAATTTGCATTTTTGGTCCCTAGTGTTTGAAGTTTTGATTAATATGATCAATTGTGTTTCAAATAGTTATTTATTTAAAGTTTTTAAAGAAAATAAAAATAACATTAAATTAAATATTTAAAAATTAAATTAAATATACAGTAAATGTGTTCCAAAATCCCTATAAAAATCCCTAAAAACACTTCACATCTGCACAATACTATCTCTAGCCTAAAAAGGAACCTCTTTTTAAAATGAATTACAATCTAATAACAACACCCAGATAATATATAAAATTATTAGTGGGAAAAAAGGAGAATCCTAATATTAATACATAACTTTATTTTAAATTCTATTACACAAATTGTGGTATGACTTGTAAATGTAGGCTTTTTTAGGCAAATGTAAGCTTTAAACGGATGTAGTTAGGAATTGTAATTACCAGTAAGGTTGTAATTACTAGTAAGGTTAAGTACCAATATGAAGTGATATGGGCTATTTTTCAATAGTATTAGAACTCCCTAAGAGATCTCAAAGCCTTCTTAAACTTAATAGTGTCAGTTTTCCCATAATTAGATCTTTCATTGTAAGGGAGTAGTTCCCGTTATTTCTTGTTTTTTAATTAATTATACTGGAAGTAAGGTCATATATCCCCCTCTCTTTCTTATTATTTATAATTATTAAATTAGGGCTGACATCCCTTCCTTATCTATAGAGTTTGCCATTAAAAGACAAGGGTAAGTATCAATTTGAAGTGCTCTTAAGGATTTTTGAAAATTCTTCCTATTATTTTTCTTGTATTTCCTTTCTATTAAATTCTAATACTCCAATTATAAATATTTAATGTATTTAAATTTATGTTTGTCTACATTGATAATTGTATTGAATAATTCAAAGAATTATGCATAATACAAATCTCATCATAAACATAATCGATAAACTATCAAAATGCCAATGAAGAAAAAGAAATTTTTACTTGACAATCAAATTGTTTATATTTCATAGGGTAATTAGTTAAGTGATTAATTATCAATATAAGTGACAAATGGTAAAATCCATTATAAATTAAGCATTCATAAAATTTATGTATTGTGGTAAATTTGAAACCAACTATGCAAAAGAGAAGAAATGTCTAATAAATTAGTAACATAAATAAATGATGTAAAGAAATAAAAAGAGAAGAAAAAGAAGTGTATTTAGATTTTTCTTTTTTTATTATTAAAATTTCTAATACGCAACTAACGCAATTTGAATCCAATTCGCATCTAATATCATCTTAAAATCTTCAATATTAGTATTTAAAACTTAAGGGACTATTATGGCTCAAAATCAAAATATTGGGAACCTAAAATATACAGTTAAAAATGTTGACTAGCAAATATTCTTTTTGTCCATTATGATGGTTGAATTTTCATTAATTGTCCTAAATCTATTTAAAAATAGAAATTTTGGAGACCATATTTGTTTTGGTTGAAATACAAGAGATCAATTCAGTACACAAGCCAAATATTGGAAATTAAAGCTACATTTCTCTCTAAAAATAAATAATATAGATATAATGTTGCATAATACTAGAGATTAGTATTCCCATTTTCCTATCCCCGTGCCATCTTGAAGTTCCTTCAACCTTCTCCCTTGTCGCAACAATTTCTTTCTAGTTCCTTGGTGTAAAACTATCGCATTTGATTCAACGAGATTTCTCATCATATGGGATAATGCTATCTTTTTAAAATCTAGGCTTTGAACCAAAGCAATCTCTACAATTTTGACAATTATAATTATGGTTGCTATTATTTCCAATTCTAATTAAATAGGGCACTAGACAAAATCAAGACGTTCTTTATCTACTTCTCGTTTACATGCTACTATTGTCCAAAGTTTCCTCATATAGATTTTTTGAAGAATATTGGATTTTGACGAGTACATTTATTCCCTAAACTAATTTTGTAATCTCATGCAACTCCCTCAAGTTTTATTGCATGCAGGAAATAACTAA